ATCAGACACTATATCTCTGGGGATTCAGTGACCACTTCCCCTTCCCGTGAAGCTTGTGTTCTAGTCCAGAAGAGAACTGGTTAGCCAACAATGTAGAAAATGATTGTTTCAAATGATAATAAGTGATATAAAGAAATAATGCAGCAGGCACCAGGGGTTTCTATGGTGGGTGAAGAGGAGAAGTGATGCTTCAATGAGGAGGAGGAGCTACATAGGCAAAGAACTGGAGGAAATGCATGCCAGGTGGGAGGCAGCAGGAGCAAAGGCCCTGGGGCAGGTAACCGCTTGACCTATTTGAGAAAACAAGGAGACCACGTGGCTAGAACAGTGAAAGGGACAGAGAGGCATAGGAGATGGCATTGAAAGCAGATCATGCAGGGTCTTTGGACTTTATTCTTGACCCCATAGGAAGCTGAATTACCTGGGTTGTTCTTTAACATGCAGATTCTTAGGTTCACCCCTTTAAGACTCCTTTATTATGACTGGGATGGGACCTAGGAATCTGCATTTAAAAAAAATTCCTGGGGAGCCTCAGCTACTGCATCAAATTTGGGAAACTCAAACTTCGTGCCTTCTGAGTTTCTTTCAGTTTTCAGAAAGTTGAGACACAAAGCATTGGAATATTTTGAAAAAAGATTTCAAATGTTATATTACGGAAGGTTCCCTTCTCCCCATACCCCTCAGTGCTGCCTGTGTGCCTGGTAGAGTTAATTATGGCTGTCCCTTTTATTGCACAATCCCAGGCCTGGCACCCAAGCCCAGGTGAGGCAGAGCCAGCACTGTTGGAAAAAGGAAATAAAACACCATCCACCTCGTCAAAGAGCGTGAATCCCCTCCCGCCCCATCCCCTCCCTCCTCACCACACCACAGCCAGGTTTTCCCATCCCTGAATCCCAGCCTTCCCGTTGGCCCAGGGAATACCACCCCCAGCTGCCCCTACACTCCAGATGACTCAGTTTTTGTCTACTATAGGATTGTTTCTGGTATATATTTGTCGTTTGGTCCCCTACAATGCTTCAAGAGGCCAAAATTCCAATCTTATGTGTCTCCAACTCAAGGCTTTGCCAGGAAACAGGTATAAATCAATGAACTTTTGGATCACTTTTCTTTAAAAAAAAAAAAATGCTGTAGAGACAGGTGCAGTGGCACACACCTGTCATCCCAGAGGCTTGGGAGGCTGAGGCAGGAGGATGTCAAGTTCAAAGCCAGCCTCCGCAAAAGCAAGGCTCACTAAGCAACTCAGGGAGACCCTGTCTCTAAATAAAATACAAAATAGGGCTGGGGATGGGGCTCAGGGGTCCAGTGCCCCTGAGTTCAATCCTGTAGATTTGAGAAGACGTGGGGCAATCTGAGTAGACGGAGGCGCTAGTTGGGTCATTGGCCGTCTCTGGGTGTCCATTCCCATCAACGCTAAGGTGAAAGCACTAGTCCAAAGCCTTTCAAAAGCCTTTTCTAACTTTTTGAAGGGAGCCTTCTCCCTGAGATCTGAGGCAGGAAGAACAGTCCTGTTCTCAGGGAGCTCAGCTTGCAGTGTGAGCGAACACAATTAAATGACAGCTCATTATTAGGGGCTGCCGTCGGCATAGCAAAGGGACTGTCATATCCTAGAAAAGGAGCAGATGTCCCCGGAGTCTTGCTCCCTACGCCCGCGCACCTTCTCCATCTCACCAGGGGCTCCCTCTTGGCAGCTGCCGGAGCTCAAAACCTTGGAGTCATCCTTGACTCTTGCCCTTCTCCTACTCTCCTGCTCCTACGTGTAACCAGCAGTAGACGATGTTTGCCCTGCTTTCAAACTGTGTTGGAGCCTGACCGTGCATGGCCTCCATCCCTGCTGCTCTGATCTGAGTCTGAACCATTGCAGAGGGCTCCCCAGCTCTTCTCTTTCTTCCCCTCATTCTAGTGCCCCTCAATTCTAGAACAATCCCTCCAAAAGGTAAGACAAACTCCGTAAGTCTGTTCCAAAGATTCCACATTTCAGCTCAGAAAACCCAAAGGCCCTCCCAGACCCGAAAGACATGATCTCTGATCTCACCTCTTGCCACTCTGGTCTTTGTTTTCTGTTCCTTGTAGATCCTAAGGGTCTTTAAACCTCCCTTTCTGCAGATACCTGGGTAGAAATTAGATATTACTATGCAATAAACGGCTCCAAAGCTTGGTGGCTGAAAACAGCATTCAACTATGGAACTTCATAGTTTCTGTGAGAAGGGAGTTTAGCCGGGTGGTTCTGGTTCACCATGAGGTTGTGGCCACATGTCTTCCGGGGGGGCTGCAGTCACATCTGAAGGCTTGATTGGAGTGGGAAGATCCACTTCAAGGTGACAAGTTGGTGCTGGCTGTTGGCAGGGGGCCTCACTTCCTCACATGGGTCCCTCTGTGGGGCCACTTGGGTGTCCTTGCAAAGTGGCAGCTGTTTTTTTTCCCAGAATGATCAAGAGAGCAAGGCAGAAGGTGCTTTCGGTGACCTAGTTGGAAAGTCACACATTATCACTTCTACCACATTCTGTGCACTTAAAGGAAGTTAATAAGCCCATCCAACTTCATCGGGAAAGAAATTCGTTCCTTTTTTTTTTTTTTTGATGGCATAAACGTCAGAGAATCTGTGAACACATTTTTAACCACCCAAGCTTCAAGGTTGGCCCCTATTTTTTTCAAGTCTGAGCTCCATCATTACTCCCTTCAAAGGTCTTCTCTGATTCCTTTCTGCAAGATAGCAGCCACCCCTCCATCCCTACTCCTGCATACCGCTTTATTCTCACCATAATCGATCACCATTAAATAAGCCACAGGTTGACCTCTGTGTTGATTATCTACTCCTCCATCCAGGATGTAAATTCTAGAACTGCTGTGCCCACGTCAGAAGCACTCAGGAAACTGGAGTTAATGCACTCAGGTGAACCTAAGCAGGACAAGAGCAGGTCAAGGCCGGTCTTGCTGGGAGCGAGGCAGAAACTGCAAGCTTTGAGTTGTCAAGAGAAGACAATTTCTAGACTTTTTTGTTTGCATGAATAATCTCATTTTGTCTGCACAACAATGTAACAATTCCTAGCTCCAATTCCACAGAGACCCATGGACAGGGGGGGAAGGCACAGAAATGGAGCTCTCATAGTAGGAGACTGGGGCAGGGAGGTCTAGGGAGAACCGAGGCTGGGTAAGGTGGAAGGGAGTTCTAGAAGCCAGGAGCCGTCAGGGAGGAGGGCAGCCCTTATTAGAACCTCCGTCCCTCCTGGCTCTGCTTCTAAAGATTCACTGATATGCAGCTGACAGAGATGGATGTGTTTTTCTGCCCTTCCTTCCGTATTGACTGGGCTTGGCTGCTCCCCTGGAAGCCCCAAGGAGTGGAGGGCTTATCAGATGCGTTCATCCTGAGTCCTGAAACCAGTCCTGATGCACTGGCTGCAGCAGCCTGGTGCATGAAAAACGCTAGTGCTTTTGATCAATGTCTGACCTGGGGGGTCTGAAGACAGGGTGAGCAGGGAGGAGAACTTTCTGGAAGGTGCCAAATACATCTGTGACTCCCGAACTCCTGAGTCCTCCTGGTTGGGAGCTAGGAGTTAGAGCGACAGTTTCTTCAAAAGCTGAGGACCTAGGCAACTTCTTGTCACTCTCTGGGACTCTAAATAAGAGATGAGACTCCTTGGCTGCTCCCCAGTATTATTTGGAGCCTACATCTGTAGCAAAGGAGGGAGCTTCGGGTTACTCTCTGAGATCCCAGGTGATCTCATACCTGTCAGGGACAATCGGTTTGCAAGGAAGTAAAAGAAAAAGACAATTTCTAGACTTTTTTGTTTTGCATGAATAATCTCGTTTTGTCTGCACAACAATGTAGCAATACACTGGCTAATATTATTCCCTGTTTTACAATTGAGGGAACTCAGACATGTTAAGTAATCAGACTTAAGTGATCTCCTACGTGATCAGTCATACCCTCCACATCCACGGCAGAAGTGTTTCAAGATCCCCAATTGATGCCTAAAACCAAGGAGAGTACTGAAGCCTCTGTCTTCTCCTATACATGCACAACCGTGATAAAGTTTAATTTATACATCAGGCACAGTGAGAGACTAACAATAACTGATAATAAAATTAAATAATCATGTTGTAATAAAAGTTACATAAGTGCATCTCACTGAAAAAAAAAATTCATTATTCTTTCGGCTTTTTTTACTCCAATGAAGCACTTAGCAAATCTCTTCAGCTTCCAGGTGGATAACATCATTGTCTTGGACTTTGGGGTCATTGTTAAGTTAAATAAAGGTGACTTGAACAGGACCGTGGTACAGTCACAGTCGATCTGATAACCAAAATGGCTGCCAAGTGATCAACAAGTAAGGGAGATAATTCACTTCTGGGCAAGACAGAGTGGGATGATGCAAGATATCATCACATTACTTAGAATGGTGCACGTTTGGAACTTAAAATTTGTTTGTTTCTAGAATTTTCCATTTAATATTTTTGGGCCATGGTAAGCCACAGGTAAATGATGTCAAGAGAAACCGTGCATGAGAGTGTACAGATGAGGTGGAGAAATCAAATAGAACTGTCAAAGTAGAGTTTCAGCTAATCATATCATGCTTTGTCCTCCAATTGTGTCTTGAGACAAGAAAGTAGAATGCTGGTTTCCTACACCTCCCCATGATTTAGTCAGGATAGGCTAAGGTATGCTGCAGTAACAAGCTCCAAAATCTGAGTGTCTTAATCTTAATAAGGTGTACTTCTCTCTTGAAAATCTGATGTGATTCTATTGTTTCTCCTCCATTGAGGAGCTTCATCCTCCAGAATATGTGGCCCCCAAAGTCACTAGAACAGAGGAAGAGAGACCAGGAGAAGTCATGTGGGGTTCATGACGGGCTTAAAGTGGAAACGACTACTCAGAGACAATTGTCCAAAGATAATCTAACGGTTTCAACCTAACTATGAAGGAAGCTGAAAATGAAAATCTGAATTTCGTGACCGGTCCTCTGTATCACCTAACCCATGCCTTTTCATTTCTTCCCCCACAGGACAGAGCCCCAGAGCAGCCCCATAGGTCCAGCCCAGGATGGACCTTCAGAAAAACTGGGTCAGCGTCTGGCCACCGAGGCCTTGGGCACCAACAGCTGGGAGAGAGACAAGGCCTGCCGGGAGCTGGGTCCTGCCAGAGCTCGAAGGTGAGATTCCCTCCTCTTTCCTCTCTTGGTCTCTGGGGAAGTTCAACCTGGAGATTTAGAAATGAAGTTGGCTTCTCTGGCTGTTTCCTCCCTTCTTTTACAAGTTCCTCTTTCAGACCCTTAAAAAAGAGGTCAGTCGATTTTTTTTTTTTAATTTCCTGTAGAAAAACAGACAGTAATTGTTTTAGATCTGTGAACATGGTAGTTTCTGTCCTAGTTACTTGCCTCTGCCATGGTCCCACAAACCCAACCATTGACATTATGCAAATAAATAGGCAAACCTGAGTTCCAATAAAACTTTATTTATAAAAACAGGAAGTGGGGTAGGTTTGACCTTCTGGGTATAGTTTGTTGACTCCTAACCATAAATGATAGTTTCTTTCCATTTTAATGCTCGAAGGCGCCTTTGGTTCCCAAATCATGATTTCAGCCCAGATCTGAGTTCCAGATTTCTGTATTCATTCCTGAGTTCAGTTATTCAAAGCACCTTTTAAGCACCTGCTGTATAATAAGTATTTTATTGAACATCAGAGAGAAGTAACTTGCCCAAAATATGGCGGCCAGAGTGTGGCCAAGTGAAGTGTTGAACTCCCGTCTCTTTGATCTTAAGTCCTAGACTAACATCTAACACATTACTCTATAGATGCTAATGAAAAGGTTAATCTATCCCGTGATTCTCCTCCCCCCCCAACCCCAATATTAGAGACCATCCTATCTTTGGCCTCTGGAGAATCTAAATCCATTTACAGCACTCTGTAATCCAGCCTCACCAGCGGGAGCCAATCCTGTCCTGTTATCCTGCCACAGTCCCGGGCCAATGAATCTGGTTTCCCCACCAATAAATCTCCTCCAGATTCCTGATGTTGAATCGGAGGGTGTCAACGCCATTTTGTAGGTGGGGAAACTGAGGCCATTTTGTAGGAGGACCGAGAGTAGCCAGAGGACCTCTGCCCCTGGTTCAAATTCTCTTCCTTACATTCTGCAGTTCTTGGTTGACTAAGGCAGCAGTTCTCAGCTGTATTGAGAATTAGATAAAAGCTGAGGGCTGACTGCTGTGTTCAGAAAAAAATGTGTCACTCTGAAAATCCTGGGCACCTTTTCAGAAGGTTTATTGACCTCTGAGGCTGATGCACAGGGACCTCTAGTTAAAGACCCTGATTCTAGGAGACAAGGTTATGGCATTTTGAAGAAGTGGCTTAGGAAGCCAGAGATTTTGCCCACGCAGTCTCAGCGATGGGACTGATGTTTGCACAGTGACCAAGGTGAGGCTGTGAATTCAATGGGAGAGAAACACAGTGACGTCCAATCCGCTCTTCAGAAGTGAAGCTCAATATCAGATCTGGAGAGTACTGTCTAGGAAACAGGGAGGGAAGTTATTGTGACAGCTGAGGGCGGGGGAGAGAGAACAGGGAAGAGGAGAAACTCTGTCCTTTCAAAACAGCATCTTCCCAAGGGTGGAAGGGGAGGCCGTGAGACTTAGAGCCCTGGGCTCTCCCTGGGATGCTGCCCTTGACAAACTGAGTGACCATGTTCCTCTTCCTCAGTTTTCATGATTGTAAAATGGGAATATGAAACCCCATTCTCAAGGTCACAGTGAGGAATCAACTAGATGGGACACCAATGGGTCCCAGCCGTGGGTCCAGAGCACAGGAAGTCTTGAAACATGTTGAGTGAGTCTCATGGGGCCGGGAGAGAAGGTTCTGGGCATGAAACCTGAACAGCGATGCCACATTGCCAACGTACAGCGTCTGGGTCTCTCGCACCCTTCTCTCTGGGACTGACTCTCTGACGTGTTAAAAAGCACAGCGATGATAATCACGATGGTGATAATAAAAGTCATAATGATTCCACGACGGTCATGCATCATTTAACAACGGGGATGTATTTTGAGAGATCCATCCTTAGGAGACGTTGTCACTGTGCAAACATCAGCGTGTGCTCACGCAAACCCAGATGGGACAGCCTGGCGCACACGGAGGATGTGTGCTTTATACATGTCCCATAGATGCACAAAGTAGCACGAGACTCAATCAAGGACAAGAGGACATGGTGCCATCGAGATCTGAGGTCAAGCACCATCTGTGGGTGGCAGCAGAGCGGGCTCTTTTGCGATAAACGCTTTCTTTTCATAAATAGGCGTTGGCTCTAACAATCAAAGTATAATGAGTACATCAGCTGGAAACTGTCATTTGTTATTGTCCCCAAGTATTATGGCAGCACCGAGGGTTTGTCCACACCAGTGTCACGAGGTGATGCACTGGGCGGCAATCGACAGGAGTTTTTCAGCTCCGTTCTCATCTGATGGGACCACTGTCTGTCATTGACTGAAATGCCAGCGTGTGGTGCGTGACCCTCACAGAAGCCCCTTTACTGTAAACTGACTCCGTGCCCCAGCAGGGCGTGTGACACAAGCCCGCTCCTCTGATCCTGGCAATGACTTATGACACGGGGCTGCCCTTGATTCCCTTCCTCTAGGTGATGACAATGAGACCCAGAGCCAGGAAGAGACTGGGCTTCAATCCACTTAGTCAGGATCTGGGGCCAGGAGTCCTCACGGCTGTGTTCTCAGCCACGCGGATTTGACCTCAGCAAACTCGGCCACTGTGTGTTAAGCCCCTGCATATGTGACCGTCACACTCCTGGCCCTGCGTGTTGAACTACTGTGTACAAAACCACTAGCAACTTCTGCACACTTACCCACTGCCTGCCTCACCAGTGTGTGTTAACCACTGCACACTTACCCTCTGCCTGTGTGTACTTAAACCACTGCACACTTACCGTCTTGTCCCGTCCGGCAGGACACATCAACGTGGGCAGCGAACCTAGATGGGGAGGAATGAAGGGACAAGAGACACAGAAGGTGACAGCAAGACAAAAGTTCTGATCAAGCTGCAAACTTTTATTGTTCACACAGGGGTATTTATATGGTGGGGATGGGGAAGCTCTCTTATCGGCAGTTGCTGGATGTCTGCACAAGGTGAGATAACCGCAGGATGTTTCAGGAAGATAGGTTTCAGGAAGATAGGTGGCCTCAGGATGTCTCAGGTGAGATAAGTAGCTGCAGGATGCCTCCCAGGCAGGATGTCTCCCAGGGGGCTGTCAGGCTAATCTTTGAAGGAGAATTTCCTTCTAGTCCCTGACATCTCCCACTTTCTTATATAAAATATTTGACCATACCTTACCGGCCATGTTTTTAGGGGGTGATAGAGGCTCTGTTCCTCTAGAAGGCCTTAGAATATCTCCTGATCTGAGCGAGCGTTTTCACTAGGAGATTTCGTGGTGGCCTTGGCATGTTTTTGGAGGAGACGGCTTTGAGGGGGGAGCATGCCAACCGCCATGCACCAGAGCGTGTCACTCAGAGGTCTTGGGTTTTGGGATCCGTGGATCCATCCTCCTGCAGTCCTTCCTGCACCCTCTGTCATTATGGCCTAATGTCCTCACTCCATGGGTGAGTCCTCCCCCAAGCGGAGGGGCCCATGGAGGAGCGAACCCTTATGGCAAGGGCAGAAGATGGTTGGTCAGAGCTGTTACTTATACTTTTATATAAGAAAGAGAGATCTGTGGGGTTGTAAACTTAAGAAATAAGCCTGAAAGAAGGGTAGAACATCCTTTTAAATGTTGGCAGCATGGTCTTCCATCTCCAAACGGTGATAGTGGACCTGTATGGGCTTAGAGGCCAAAATATTAATCTGTTCTTTAATAAATTGTACCAGCCTGTTTATAATGCAGGGTCCTATGGACACCATTAAAAGCAAACCCAACAAAGGGCCTAATAAGGGAAGAAGGTAGGGTAAAAATCCATTAAGCCCAGTCCAGAGGGGATTTTCAAATAGTTCCCTTCGTCTCTTTTCTAGATCTTCTTGAAGCTGCTTAATTTTAGTGCGTACTATGCCTGATTTATTGGCATAAAAGCAGCATCTTTCCCCTAAGGCCAAGCAAATACCTCCCTGGTTAGCTGTCAGCAAATCTAAGCCTCGTCTGTTTTGAAGGACCACTTCTGCCAGGTTGTCTATTTGGTCCTGTAAATCTTTAATAGTTCCTGATAGAGTTTGTACATCATCTATAAGTTGTTGAGATAGGCGACGGTAAGAGTGTATAGCCGTGCCTAAGCCAGCTGTACCTGTGCCCACAGCAGCTGTTATTCCAAGGCTGGCAAGGAGTGGTAAGGCCTGTATTGCCCGCCTGTCTTTTGACTAAGGTGTCTAGGCTAGGAATGGGTAGAGGTTCATCTCCTGGGACAATAGTTATATCAGGGAGTAATAAGGCAAGAACACAGCCACCGGTCCAATTCGCTGGAAGCCTGGGGAAGGCTGAGTTTCCTCCACACATAAAAACTGTGCCATTGGGGGGACAAAGAGATGGGGTGGGTGAGGAATAATTTTTTACTGTTGAGCAATTTCCAAAGGAAGTAACTCCAACATCAATATCATAGGTATTATTCTGCATCGCGCCTAAAAGACATGATGTAAAAGTGCCTATAGGCTGTACTTTAAAAGGAAATCCAGGTTGGCATGTATTATCACTGTCTATGATAGAATTAATAGCAACTGCCATAGGCATGATTGCCCCTGTTGTCATGCAGAGCCAGCAATCACCAGCAAGGGTGGGGTTGGAATTATTAAGCAAGGAGAAGGTAGTTTCCAAAATATCTAATGTATTGGTATCTAAATCTGGGAGCTGGGATTTAGGCAGCATTAAGGGATGATATGTGAACTCAGGGATTTGGGGTTTCAAAAGTTTGATTATCTGAAGATGCTTGACAGCATCAGTGGGTCCTCCACCATCAGAGACCCCTGTAGGGGCCTTAATGGGCCAGCAGGATGGTTTACCAACAGTGCCTTGGCATCCAGCTGACTGTAACTTGGTATATATGCCTTCTCCTCCCCGGTCAAAGAGGAGGGGGATATAATGAATAGTGGTCCCCTCTGCTGCATGAGTTTTAGTTAGGGTGGCTTCAAAAAATTGTTCTCCCTGCTTGTTAACACAAATTGAGGCTGACACATAACAAGAGACATGCATAGCCTGGGTATGCATACAAGTTGCAGAACAATTTTGGAGAGCTTTGAGAGATATCAATGAAAATATAGTTAAAATCCTTAGATATTTTGTAGACATAATTATAATTATTTATCATCTTATGAGTTTGAACAGTAACTTTGAGAATTAGAAACTACTTGAAGATTGTATTTTCACTTAAAAGCAAATTTATAGTAAACACATTTATCTCAAATATCTGTAACTGAAAAGGCAGAGTATCTGATAAATGTAAATATAAAACATAAATAATGGGTTTTCTGTTGAAGAAAAACAATTAGGCAAATATATATTAACTAATCAATTAGGCATGTGCTAATTATTTTATAGATTAACCAATATAGGTTATCTAAATATCTTAAAAAATATATATATTAAGAATAAGAACATAACTTATAATTGTATTAATTTTATGTAACCACGTGGTCTTAAAATATTTGGATCCATTTTAATTTATTTTTAACTAGGAGTGCACTCTTCTATGTGACGTCACTTGATGTAACTGAAATAAAATCCTTGTTGAGTATACATATTTATTTTTTATAGTTAGGAATGAGAATAAGGATTTTTTGGTCATCACAGGAATATTGCCGGCTTTGTTCCTGTGGCGAGCAAATGCATCCTCATAACCTCCAAAATTAAAAGTAAAATATAAAGAAGCATGTTTGATATCTCTCATCAATAGAACATTATTTAGTAACACAACTATAGAGAAAAGTCAGGTTATTTAACTCAGAACTAACTTAAATTTAGGGCTGCAACATAGAAAGCTGTGGAATTAAATTTTGTCTGAAAAAGATATCTTTCATTAGCATTTACAGGTAGGCATTCTTAAAAATACAGGCTCTGAACAGCTCCGGTATAAATCTGAAACACAGTAGTACAGATTAGTGGCTGGAAGGCGGAACTAGAAGTCCTGTCTGAGTGACTGTGGAAGAACCAATCGGAAGCACACGAAAGTGTGGGAGGTGGGACCAGGAAGCCTGCTCTTCTGGCCAGGCACCCCATGGTTACCATGGTGATGCAAACAACATGGAGTCCGCTGCCCATTTTCGGGGCAAAAGTTTTCCTAGCTGATTGCATTTTGATTGATTTTGTCTGCATTTTCCCCCGCCTGGCCAAGATCTTACTGCGGTAGCAGCTTGTTCTGTCTCTGCGACCTGCGGTTGCAGCTCGTGTACATCCTGCATTTTTTTCTGTGGCACGTGGGTGCTCCAAAGGTTTTTTAGCAGCAAACGCTAGCATTACCATCAGATCTTAAGTTAGTCTGTGTTTGGCATTTAGGTCAAGTAATTCAAGGATTAAAAGCACTGCTGGCCGCAGGGGCTAGGACCCCATAGCAGCAGCAGCGGCTAAAGTCTCTTGTCCCCAGCTGCTGAGTTACAGCCATTCTGATTCATAGGACAATCATGTAGTAAAAAGGTCCGTACATACTTTCTGAGTATTGACAAAAACAGTAGAAAATTGAAACTTATTTCTCTCCAGGTAAACATCACATTTTCTCTCCCTTTTTCTCACTCTCCTAGTGCAAACTTCTAGAACATAAAGGCCAAAAAATCTTTTTTTTTTTTAAGCTTTTTTTTTTTTTTTTTTTTTTTTTTTTTTT